CGGTGGGAAAAGGGGGTCTGTTATAAGAGCTCCTTTCCTTTCCTCTAAGTTTTTAGTCCTCTCTCACAGTGGGAGGAGACCTCAAATCCCAGGACAATGGGCAGTGTGACAGCCTCTGTACAGGACAGCAGAGTCTCTCATTCCCAGATACCCAGAGTTCCATTCCAGGCCAGGCTTCTGAGATGTCTTTCTTCTGGCACCAAAATTGTAATGTTTGCTGAACACCAAGCAATACTTCAAAATCAACACATTGTCTAAAATTGGAATTTTGGCCCCACTCAAGAGTCAGCACAGACCTTGATCCAGGGTTCAATCCCACAACACTGTCCTCACTGCAGATGCCAGTCACAAACTGGGCCCATCTATGGGCCCATCTATGCTTTTGAGATACTGTTTAAAAATTCAGGACTCCCATAAATCTTTCAAGTTCAATAATTTTATAGAGCTACTCACAGAACTCAGCAAAACACTGTAGTTATGTTTACTCATTTATTATACAAAATACAACCCAGAAAACTCCAGTGGAATAAATGTATAGGACAAAGAAAGGATGTGGGGAAAGATGAAGCACATAGATAATTCTGGCAAACAGCATTAATAAAATTCTCTATCCTTTGTGTTCTCCAGGAACAGTTTATAGAAAGAAACATCCTTTCACTATCACTTAGATGGTGCTCTCTTGTCCGATCTATCACATAACTAGACACTGACTCTGCACATTTTCTTCTTTGTTGTATTAAAAAATAAGCAAAATTTGTCTTCAGTGGTCAAAATAAAATGCTTTTTTGTTTGTTTTTTGAGATGGAGTCTCACTCCGTCACCCAGACTGGAGCGTAGTGGCATGATCTTGGGTCACTGCAACCTCTGCCTCCAAGGTTCAAGCAATTCTCCTGCCTCAACCTCCAGAGTAGGTGGGATAACAGGCACATGCAACCATGCCTGGCTAATTTTTATATTTTTTTTTAGTAGAGACGGGGTTTTGTCATGGTGGCCAGGCTGGTCTCAAACTCCCAACCTCAAGTGATCCACCCACCTTGGCCTCCCAAAGTGCTGGGATTACAGGTGTGAGCCACCGCACCCAGCCTAAAATACTTCTTAATGAAACTTTACTTAAGTTTATCTCCTTTCCATAGGCTCCTGAACTTTGAGCTACCCTCAGTCTGAGCCAACATACAACCCCATTTTATGTTCCTCCTAAAAACTTGCTGACTTCATGGTAAAACAATTTCTGATCTAAAATCTGATTTTTTTTCATCCTCCATTTGCTATTCCCCTCTGACCTTCTAATCTTTTTCGCTCCTCTCTAAGAAAGAAAGCCTCTATCTGTTTAAACTTTGCAATCCTTAAAGCTCTTATAGTTGGTACTTCCTTCTATTGCAATATTCTTTTAGAATTCAATTTTTTATTTTACATAAACCTAATTTAGCTCTATTTTACAAAGTGTAGAAACTGCCTCAAAACAGCAACAATTTCATCTTCAGTAAGACCCTCCCAATCCCATTCTATCTTAATGTTAACTGCATATGCCTGTGGGTCCCCAGCTTTCCAGGGCTCTGTAGCTTCTCTCAGTATAAAGGTTTCTTCCATGACTGGGGTCAGCAGGCTGGGACATCTGCAGGGAAGGTTTCCTAGAAAGAACAAACTGGGCCTTTAATAACCTCCCTCCCCAGCTGGGCGCAGGGGCTCACACCTGTAATCTCAGAACTTTGGGAGACCAAGGATTACCTGAGGTCAGAAGTTTGAGACCAGCCTGGATAACATGGTGAAACCTCGTCTCTACTAAAAATATAAAAATTAGCTGGGTGTGGTGGCACCTGCCTGTAATCCCAGCTACCTGGGAGGCTGAGGCAAGAGAATTGCTGGAACTGGGAGCTAGAGGCTGCAGTGATCCAAGATCTCGCCACTGCACTCTAGCCTGGGCAACAGAACAAGACTCTGTCAAGAAAAAAAGAAAGAAAGAAAAAGAGAAAGAAAGAACGAACCTCCCCTCTTTTTGCAGGCTCACTATTAGCATTAGCTTGGGGTCACTGGGCACAAGCTTTAATTTCCATGTCAGAATTATTCACTTGGTTTTTGTAACTGAAAAATTCAGAAAAATTACTCAAACACAGTGTTTATATAAGGGAAGGAAATTTTAAGGTACTTACATTTCATACCTCAATAAGAAATACAAAAGCATTTCTTCCTTTAAGACAATATATTATTTTATTATTTCCATTAAAAATCATGTAAACAATTAGTTACATGGGAGCACTTCTAAGAGATACCAAGTTTCATCTCATAAAATTTAGCATTAACATCACATATCAAGATGATAGGGTATAGAACAGAGGTATTCACTATAACAAATGTATCCTGCAAAAAGAGGAACTGATGTTTTCATGAATCCATGTAACTCACCAATTATCTACCACATTTTCTTGTGGAAATGTATTCATTTTCTATAGCCAAAACGGAAGAGAGATTTTCCCTATTCTTTTCCTTCGTAGCACTCTAAAAACTAAGCCTTGGAATTCTGTTGGACGTCACCTAGTCATTAAAGAAACACACCTGGCTAGGCGCGATAGCTCGCACCTGTAACCCCAGCACTTCGGGAGGCCAAGGCAGGGAGATCGGGCAGATCACCTGAGGTTGGGAGTTCAAGACCAGCCTGACCAACATGGAAAACCCTATCTCCACTAAATATACAAAAAATTAGTTGGTGCATGGTGGCGCATGCCTGTAATCCCAGCTGCTTGGGAGGCTGAGGTAGGAGAATCACTTGAATCCGGAAGGCAGAGGTTTCAGTGAGCTCATACTGAGCCACTGCACTCCAGCCTGGGCAACAAGAGCAAAACTCCGTCTCAAAACAAAACAAAACAAAACAAAAACAAAAATGAAAATACACACCTGAGAAAATTTCTAAACTCGGTGTGGGAAAGAAAAAGGTAAATGAGTTTTGTTTTTGTTTTTGAGACAGAGTCTTCCTTAAATGAGTATTCTTAAGAAATGGAATATAGGATTAGATACTGATTTTCTTCTGATCCCCACCTCTTTTATGCCCTTTGTAAATATTTTCTTATCTTTTAAGTCCTACTAATAAAATGCAAGTTACAGTTAACGCAGGGAGCAGCGGTGCTCATTAAAAAATAGATGTGTCTGACTCATGTGTCAAGTCAGGCCACCCAATCACTTGAGAGATTCTCACACCCTCATCCTGCTCACTTAAGTGCTCAGTGACCACCCTCTCCGGAGACACTGCACTAGGCCCCAGTGAGTGCCCCAAGGTGCATTTCACTTTGCAAGTTGTTGCACTATCTCACTGGAGCCAGGTTTGATTTTGTTTTTTTTGTTTGTTTGTTTGTTTTTTGTCCTTTGGGATACTATTTTCTCTTTCAGAATTCTTGGAGAATTCAGGTGGCAGTAATTATTTGTGTTTTTCCCTCAATACCAACATCTGACTGGCTGACCAGCAATGTGTCTCGAGAAATTGAAGCCGGGTTGGTTTGAAGACAATCTTAACTTCTCAAAGGGTTTCCTTTTCAAAGGAAGAATATCCCAGGAGACTCCTCTTGGCCCCCGGGCATCCACCTGATCCCTTGAAAGGCTATACTCCAACTTCAGGCTGTCCTATGTCTCCCATTCCCAAATACTCGGAGTTTCATTGCAGGCCAGGAGCTGAAATTTACTAGACATTCTAGCATACATAGCCACAGCGGATATCTTGATTTATCCCCAGACAGTACTGAAACCCAGAACCAGGGAAAAAACTGAAGGGTGGCTGAGGACACATTACCTTATAAAGTTTCCAAAGGGAAACCTTGACCCAAAAATATTCTGATAAGGTTTCTGTGCCTAGAGGCAATAAAAGGAAAGGAGGCACAGAACACTGTTTACAATACAGTGTCAGGGGATTATTCTTTGCTTTCTTCTCTTGGGAAATATTTACAAACAGAAAACAAATCTTCTTAAAAATGCCATCCAATGCTTTGTCAAAAAATGATGAAAATATGGTACTAAAATGTACACTAAAGTGTACATTAAAGGACAAATAGTTGATAATGTGAATTAGGGAGGGGAAATTGGCATTTGGGAATGTCAGAAGGAACTGGAAATTTAGTATTTTACTGCAAGCCAGAGTTAGGTTGGAGGAATGGGAAATGGGGAGGAGTCTTGAGACCCTGCTTGAGAAAGAAGTGAAAAATGCAGGGGAAAATCAGTCCCCTGTGGAGTGTGAAAATAATTAAATGGCAGGCAATTAGACTGAGGTGGCTCCAGTCCTAGGGTTGCTTCTTTCAAAAAAATCTAACTCGAATGCTTTTTTTCTAAAGTATTACATTGGGGGAAAATAAAATTCAGGCTTAACCAACTGTAAACTGCCAATTAACCTCTCATTACATGACCAGGAAATTTCCACCTTGATCGTGCAAATTAAGAAACTACATAACTCTACCTAACCAATTATTAAATTTGCTTTCCTTTATCATGAACCTTATAAAAGTGTTTTCTTCAAGCCCATTCCATAAACCACAAACTACAAAACATAGCTTGGTGCTCTGCAATTCTTGAATTACTCTTTAATTAAATTCTTTAATATTTTTGCGGAGACTTCCACAAATTTTAATAGAAAAAAAGGGGGACTGGGAACCCCGCGGACCAAAGCTCTTCCCATTCATGAACTCCATACCCCGAGTCAGTATTCTCCCCTGACCACCGTCCCGTGGTCCCTGCACAATAATCGAGGAGGGATGCGGCAGTGGGGGCAGAGCTGCCCAGAGAGGACTCCAGGCCAGGGCACAGTCACTCCGCAGGGAGGAGACAGGACGCCCGGGGTCCCTGCTGCCAGCCCGGCCGCCATCCTATGGCTGAAGGGGACTGACGGCCGAGCTGCGCCAAGAAGAACTCTGGGCCGCGGATTTTGGAGACAACTGCGGGTAGGCCAGAGTCCCGCCACAGCCACTTCCTACCAGTACCAACCAGCCCCGCCCCCTCTCTCGGGATGTCGGACCCGGCACTCTCACCATTTTTAGGCTTCCAGGGGGTCCTGGGGTCTTAGCTGTGGATCTCCCAATACCTGCAGGTAACGGGGCCACAGAGACTGGGCCTCTGGAAGCAGAAGACACACAGCAGTGAAGACTAAACCAGGAGCTCCGGCTGCAGCGAGAGACAAAGGCCCCGCCAAATCCGGAAGCCGTCCTGTCTGCTCTTGCTGCCTACCTGATTGGACCGGTCCCAGCCCAGCGTCCCTGATTGGATAATGCCTAGGGCCCCACCTCCTCAGGCCCTGATTGACAGAAGATGTGCTCAGATGCTGAATGTGGAGAGAAACCTAAGCCTTTTCAGGCAGAGCTTCCTCCCTAAGCTGACCCAGGCCCTCCCCAGACGGCATTTGCCTTGTAAGGCAACCCTCTGAAATAAAATGTGAACCATATGTGAATTCCAAATTTTCTACTAGTTAAGAAGAATGAAGAAACAGGTGAAATTCATTCTAACCATTTAATAACCCAATATATCCAAAATATTATTTCAGTGTATGAGCAATATGTAATTATTAATGTACTGTACATATTCTTGGAACTAAATCTTTAAATCTAACTCTATATTTTACCTTTGTAGCACATCACAGTTTAGACCAGCCATATTCCAGGCATCCTGTAGCCACACATGGCCAGTAGCCACCACATTGAAGTGCAGCTCTGACGTCAGGGGATTGAAGGGCCTGAACATCCCTTTTCTGCCAAAGGTGAAGCAAGAGCCTCTCCCTACCAACATCTCTCTTCAGTTCCAAGGATGAAACAGATACTGGCCATAAAAAGAGCAGAGGACAGCAGAATAAAATTACCTCAGGTACTGAGGTTACAAGCACTGCTGGCCACCAGTTGCTCACCTTTCTTCAAGAGATTAGACAGTGAACAAAGAATGATGAGGTCACAGGAGAAGAAAACTCTATGTCTTTAGATCTGTACATAGTATAGACCTCCAATGTTTAGAAACAGAGAAAATAGAAAAAGGCAAACTCATTTTGCTGTTTGGCCTTGGCCCTAATGGTCAGGCTGTGGTTTTTCTGTTTTCTCCTGTTGTATGTGGTGCTGTGTGAGTATAACCACCAATCACATGTATATATGTCCACATGTATTTCTGCATTTTTCAACATTATCTTACAAGATATTCAACTTTAAATCAGGGGGGAAAACTTAGTACTTTTAGGGTAACTAAATTAGAAGGTAACTAGTAATCAGTCTGTCATTAAGGCCTGGCATCTTATCTGCACTGGGTGCATGTATTAGTTAGCTGTTATAGTGTAACAAACCATCCAAAGCTTATTAGCATCATAATTGAGATGGTCAGGCTTTTAGACTGGGCTCAGTGGGACCATTCTTCTTGTCTCAACTGAGCTCCTTCAGACATGTATTATCAGCTGCTTGTTGACTAAGCAGCTATGCTTCTGGGAGTGAGCTTCTGCTTCTGGGGTTGTCAACAGAGGCAACTTGCTTCTCCTCCCCATGGTATCTTGTCTGGCTTACATGGGCTTTTTTTCATGGAAATGGCAGCATTCTGAAAGAAAAACAGAAGCATTCAAGAACTTTTGAGCCTACGCCTCAAACTAGCACACTGTCATGTTCACTGGTTTCCACTGCCCCGAGCAAATAAGGCCAGCCAGATCCAGGGACTGGAAAACAGATTCTGAGTCTCAATGGGAACAGCTGTAAAAGCACCTGGCAATGGGCATGGATACAGGAGGGATAAAAAATTGCTACCATTTTTGCAATCAGCATCATTCTGCCTTTTTGTGCATATGTAGTTTATAGAACTGTTCCACATCAAAAAATTGTCCAAAGACCCACAGTGGCTGGGCTGGGACTCAGGATCAACTCTGTGTGACCCTTGAAATCCTGAAGAGTGACACTTCTAAAACAGAAGTCAGATTTATTTTAGATTTGTGCCCATATAGTACTGCTTATTATTAGAATAATCTTAAAATGGCTGGGCATGGTGGTTCACGCTTGTAATCCCAGCACTTTGGGAGGCCGAGGCAGGCGGATCACAAGGTCAGGAGTTCGAGACCAGCCTCACCAACATGGTGAAACCCTGTCTCTACTGAAAATACAAAAAAATTTAGCTGGGCGTGGTGGTGGGTATCTGTAGTCCCAGCTAGTTGGGAGGCTGAGGCAGGAGAACCTCTTGAACCTGGGAGGCAGATGTTGCAGTGATCTGAGATCACACCACTGCACTCCAGCCTTGGTGACATAGTGAGACTCCATCTCAAAATAAATAAATAAATAATCTTAAGGAATTGCAGAAACACACGGTGGTTCACACCTGTAATCCTAGCACTTTGGCAGTCTGAGATGGGAGAATCACTTGTACTCAGGAGCTCAAGTGCAGCCTGGGCAACATAGTAAGATCCTGTCTCCATAATTTTTTTTTTTTTTTAAATTAGCCAGGCATGACGAGGCATGCCTGTAGTTCCAGCTCCTCAGATAGCAGAGGTAGGAGTATTACTTGAGCCTAGAAGGTCAAGGCTGCAGTAATCCATGATTGGTTACACCACTGCCCTCTAGCCTGGGTTATAGAGTCAGACCCTGTCTCAAAAAAAAAAAAAAAAAAAAGAAGAAGAAGAAGAAAGAAATTGCAGGAGCATTTGAAAAGGGCATAGAATAATTTGGAAAAAATAGCTGAAAGATGAGTTGAGAAAATCAAAGCCAAACCACACATTACTTATTTTTTATCATAGAAAAAAATTGAAAATTAAAAAAAAAACTCTAGAGAAATTAAATGTTACAGAGTTTAATTGAACAAAGAATGATTCACAAATCAGGCAGCCTGTGGAGCCAGAGTAGGCTCAGAGAAACTCCAGCACAGCCACATGGTAAAGAAAGACTCATGAACAGAAAAAGCAAAGTGGCATACAGAAAATGAAAGTGAGGTACAGAAACAGCCAGATTTACAGTTTGGGATTTGCCTTATTTGAACATGGTTTGAAGATTTGATATCCTTTTATTGGGAAAATCACAGTGGTTAGTACAGGAATGGGTTACAGTTAGGTTTCAGTTTACTATGTACAGAAAGAAAAAAACCTATTGACCAAAATTAAACATGAAAGGGTACAGCTTCGGGCTATAACTAATTTAACAATTTCCTGCTTTTGGTTATCTTCTCAATTTTGAGAGATCAATCACAACTTTATACATTATATTCTGCCATCATCAAAAATATACTTATTTAGTCTCAAATCTCACTGTGAAATAGCAGAACTGTGAGTTTTATAAAGTGGAAACGAGGACTTGAGGATATTAATATTTTTAAGAATTACAGTAAGGGGACCTCCTTATGTTAAAATTTGCTTCTTACAGAATAAAAACAAAACCTGGCCTGTTTTAGCATCTACCTATTTTCTTAAATTTTTAGTTTGAGTATGTCATATTTAGCATGAGTGACTCCATTTTGGTTTGGTTTGGTTTGGTTTGGTCTGTTTGGACCTAGTGCATAAGTTCAGTCCAGAATGATAGCCTCCAATAATTTCTTTTAAAAATTCCCCCATTTTGGTTAAGTTTTCACATAGGTCAGAGTGTGACCAAAACATTGGGCCTTAGTGCCTCTCTCAGTTTCCATTATTTTGGGTTTTTGTCCTTATCATATCATTCATAGGTTATGGTGTCCTCATGGTCACATATGTCTTTGAGTTTTCATCATTCCCATTAAAGAGAGGTCATTTGACATTCTAGAGATGACTGCATGCAAACATTTATAACTTTTGAGAGAATACAGTGCGGTAGGGAGACTACTATTTTGACATCAGGAGGATAACACCAAGAGTTTGAAGTATGCTTTTTAACCAGAGTCCCCATGAACAAACCAACTAAACTTAAATAGATTCAATAATCAGCTAAATAAGTGGTCTACTCATTTCAACCAAGGAGTCTGCTTCTTTTTTTCTTTTTTCTTTTTTTTTTGAAATGGAGTCTCGCTCTGTCGCCCAAGCTGGAGTGCAGTGGTACGATCTCGGCTCACTGCAACCTCCGCCTCCCGGGTTCAAGTGATTCTCCTGCCTCAACCTCCCGAGTACCTGGTACTACAGGCGTGTGCCACCACACCTGGCTATTTTTTTGTATTTTTAGTAGAAATGGAGTTTCACCGTGTTAGCCAGGATGGTCTCGATCTCCTGACCTCGTGATCCACCCGCCTTGGCCTCCCAAAGTGCTGGGATTACAGGTGTGAGCCACCGTGCCCAGCCCAGCCTGTTTCTTAAACCCCATAATGAAATCTCTGTAATACCTGATGTATTTCTCCATGTGCAAGTACACGTCTTAGCAACTACACAATACTTTTCTGTTTATCCAGTAAGTAATCTAAAGAAATTCTATTATTTAGCACAATTTTAGTAAAAAATTTAAAGTCCATTGTGTAACCACAGCCTTTACAGTAGAATCTGCTCTTGAGACTATTATGAAGAATAAATGCCTAACTATTACCTGATTTACTCTAAATCATGAAAGAAAAAGATCAAACAAATGATGCTTATTTAGAATAGCAATGGCCTCCTGGCAATGCTCTTTAACCTATTCTGAATAAATTATCTTTAACTTATGAAGTAGGTTAAAAGCAGTGGACCTATATTCTGCTTCTGATATTATCAGAAAACAAATGTCTCATTAGAATTTTTCAACCACATTGGCCCTTCATCATTTATCTACCAAGGCATAAGTTTGTTCATATATAAAGTTGACTGCAAAATTCTCTACATACAAATGTATATCTCACGTGAGTGCACACAAGAGGTCTTTTAAAAAATTTTTGTTGTGTGTAGAGCCATAAGAAAAAAACTGTGAATGATGAGTGTCATGATAGCAGAGATATCTTGATTTTTTGGTCTTGTGTGAAAAGCTATCTACATCAAGGTTGCCATTTGCTTTTGAGGAGATACTTTTCTTGTTAGCTTTACCTTAAGATTTCCAATGGGTATACAATTGCAAGAGTTTGGAGGGACCCTTCTGAGTTGTAAGATTATGAACCAAGGCACAAGGTCCCAAAGTCATGCCGCACTGTAGCTGGCAAGCAGACTTAATCTCTTGGTTCTAGATTATAAAAGATTTTATTGCCCTCAGTCAGTAGACTATTAAAAGCTTTCTTGTCCGAGCAC